GGCGGGCATCAAACCAGGAAGGCCAAGGCTGCGACTGAACTCCAACTGGGTACACGAATCAAGGACAATAAAAAACCCTTTTTTAGAAATGTGGGGAGCCGGAGGAAAAGCAGGGGCAACATTGGACCCCGGCTAAACCAAATGGGACAACTGACGACTGACGCCCAGGAAAAAGCCAACCTATTAAATGGGTACTTTGTGTCGGTCTTTCATCAGTCCCATGGGACGCCCATGCCTGCTACAGGGCCGGGAAGTCCGGGAGAGGGAGATCCCCTGCCCTCCATCAATGCTGACCTTGTGAAGGAACATCTTGAGAGGCTGGATACCTTCAAGTCGCCCAGCCCTGACGGGTTACACCCCAAGGTACTCAAGGAGCTGGCGAGCATCATAGCCCAGCCCCCGGCACGGGTCTTCGAGAGCTCCTGGCGCTCTGGTGAAGTGCCCGAAGACTGGAAGAAGGCCAATGTGGTGCCTATCTTCAAGAAAGGGAGGAAAGTGGATCCAGCAAACTACAGGCCCATCAGCCTGACTTCTATCCTGGGGAAGGTCTTGGAAAAGTCATCATTGACTCCAAGATGAACATGGGCTGACATTGCGAGGTCACGGTGAGCAGGGCTAACCGGACCCTATCGTGCATCCACAGGTGAGTCTCAGGTAGGTCCAAGGAGGTGATCCTCCCCCTCTACACGACACTGGTCAGGCCGCAGCTGGAGTACTGCGTCCAGTTCTGGGCACCCCACATCAAGAGGGATGTGGACAGCATGGAGAGGGTCCAGAGGAGGGCCGCCCGCATGATCCGGGGACAGCAGGGCAGGCCCTACGAGGAGAGGCGACGGGACCTGAACCTGTTCAGCCTCCACAAGAGAAGGCTGAGGGGGGACGTGATGACTGTCTATAAACTCACTAGGGGGAACCAGAAGGGGTTGGGGGAGACCTTGTTTCCCCCAGCGCCCCCCGGGATAACAAGGAGTAACGGCCACAAGTTGTTGGAGAGTAGGTTCAGATTAGACATCCGTAGGAACTACTTCACAGTTAGAGCGGCTAGGATCTGGAACCGACTTCCAAGGGAAGTGGTGCTGGCTCCTCGCCTGGGGGTCTTTGGGAAGAGGCTTGATGCCTACCTGGCTGGGGTCATTTGAGCCCAGTTTTCCTCTTGCCCAGGCAGGGGGTCGGACTTGAAGATCTGCAAGGTCCCTTCCGACCCCACTTCTCTGATTCTATGAAAAGATTCTCAAAGAGGCCATCCTCATCAGACTGGCCGACACCAACACCCTGATGGACAGCCAGCACGGGTGTGTTGCGGGTAGGTCTCGCTTGACCAATCTCATTTCCTTTTATGACCAGGTGACCTTTCACCTGGACAAGGGGGAAGGGATTGATGTCATATATCTGGAATAGACTGCCACCGGAGGCGGTTCAAGCACACACTTTGAACGCCTTCAAGACACATTTGGATGTTTATCTTGCTGGGATCCTGTGACCCCTGCTGATTTCCTGCCCCTGGGGCAGGGGGCTGGACTCGATGATCCTCCAGGGTCCCTTCCAGCCCTGATGTCTATGAGGTCTATGAATACAGACAGGCAGATTCAGTGTTTTGGGTACCAGTAGAGGAGTCATTACCAGAGCTGGTCTGATAACCGCTGAGCTGGGAGTGTGCAGCCGTGGGTTGATAAGTATTTGGCACGGAGACCCCCCACCATGCCGTGCTCCCCTGCTGCTCTGGCTCAGTGCGGTCCTTGCCTTGGACTCTGTTCTCCATCCCGAATGCTAACGAAGGTGCATGCCTGTCCCATCTCCCGTGTAAATGAGTTGTTGTCCGGTTCCATATCCGATGCAAATGAGACCGGGGGAGTCGCTTCTCTCCTGTCACCCCTGTCTGGAGGGGTTTAGGTGCATCTTCCTTGTCTTTTGTAAGTCCTTCCTCTCATCGGTTCTTGTTCAGGCCGAGGTGGGGGGGGGGAGTCCTGTGCGAGTCAGACAGGCTGCGTCCTGCGCCAGGGTCCCCAACTGCACGGAGCGGAGAGGTAACAACCCCCAGCTGGGCATCGTGTCCCCCAGCGAGCCCCTGCCCGGCAGCCTGCCCCCGGCACCTGCGGCCATGGCTGTGCTGGGCGCTGCCCGCACCACTCACGGGCCCTTTGGCCCCCACACCTGGCTGGGCCCAAGACTTTGTTGCTCTTCCAGGAATCAGAAAGCGAAATCTCCCAGGAAAACCCCGGGAGCGCCCAGGCAAGGGGCAGGCAAGGACCCAGCATAAAAGGAGCCACGTAGGCAGAGGGATCGTCTCCACGCCAGTCCGGGCCCAGGACCACGGCAATACCGGCCTCCGCGCAGCACCCCGTGCACTTATCCATCACCCCTGTGGCCCCCAACACTGGGTCCCGGACCAGAGCACGGGGCTGCACCCACCGCGTTTCCGACAGCAAGACCCAGGCGTAAGAACCGGCCTTGGGTGAGTCGGGCTGGGTCTGGGTGTGGGTCTGGCCCGGCCGTGGGGGCCCCTGTGCCAGGAGCTGCTCCCACAGAGCAAGTGCCCGAGGCACAGGGCCCGTGCGAGGCGCCTGCAGGGCCGAGCCCAGGGAGAGGGAGAGGGACCCCGCAGACACAAGTGCGGGAAGGGCCGGGCATCGCCGCGCGTTGCCTGGGGGGGTTTGCTGCAGGAGCACGTTCATCACTTCAGTTATTCTGCTCCTGTGAGGTTTATTTGCGGGTGGATTCATTGTCACTGGAAGGCACCCGGGCCTTTTGGGCAGGGCTGCCACATGCAACGCCTACGTAAGTACTCAGGACGAGTGCAAAGTCCCGCGCTTGCGGGGAACAAGCACGTACGCTGATACGGACTGGGGGTGCCGGGCTGGGCTGCACCGCTGGGAAGGCGCTGGGGGCGATGCTGGGACAGGGCCTGCACGGGGCCAGCACTGCGCTCCTCTCCTGCTACACAATATAATCCAGCAACGCCCCGGGCTGTACTCGGCATGCGCCCGGCCTCCCCTGGAGCGCGTGTCCCGTCCTGGGCACCGCTCCTCCGGGCACACGGGGACGGGCCTGAAAGAACAAGGGTTAGTCTGGAGAGGAGAAGACGGGGGCTTCGATACATGGGGTGGGAATAGGCCCTTGTCTGTGGCTGCAGACGACGGTGTTATGAGGCCAGTGCGCAGTCAGCGTCTTGTGCAGACGTGCCCGTCACTGAAATCCTCAGGTGACCTGTCACGGCGCCTGTCGGGACAAGCTGGCACCTCTGTCCCGTCAAGGGCCGGTGCATAGCAAGCTCGGCCGCCTAGATACCTAGTAGCATTCACCCCCAGCATCGGGGTAAGATTTTGTTCTGCATGGACGTGTGTCCCGGGGACACAACGGTGACGAACATGAGCCCGTGCAGGTGGAACCAGACGTAATATCAGACTTGAGGTCGCAGCTCTGAAGTCATAAAAGCTCAGACAAGAACGGTCTGTTCGCTGGAGAGCGTGTATTGACTACAGCAGTTTGCAGTCTCAAGCGTAAGACAAAGACCCTCACACAAACTCGGCCTAAGCTCGGACGCCGCCTGGTAAGACCCAGCGACAGAGCAGAAAATGGAGCCCAACCGAACATGCAACATAAGCCAGAAAGAGATCGGAGCCTTGCATGGTCTGACGTGGTCCTGAGGGCAGCGTGGCCTTGCAGCCCGGGGTTCAGACAGTCTCTGGGGGAAGCATCTGCAGGTCTGATAAAAGCTCAGACTTACCCGAAGAGCCTTGTCTGCCTGTGTCCTTAGTCCAACACGACCTGTTTCCCCGGGCACCCTCCCAACCTCCTCCCCAGGAGCCCAGCCTGCCGAGGGGACCCGCTACAAGATCTTACGGCATCTTGTTCCCCCAAGACGGTGCCGCCGTGCAGCCCGGGGAGGGCGCGGGGAGGTGCGGCGGGGAGGGAAGGGGCAGTAATGCAAGTCAAACACTGCGTGTGCTTCTGCAGGGCTGCGCTGGAAAGCTGCTCGGGACCGAAGCGTGCAGGCAGCGTCCGCGCAGAGATGAGCTCCCAGGAAACCATCGTGTGCGGCAAGGAAGAAAACCAAAGCAAATGCCACATTTCTAAAAGCGATAGGAAAAGTCCTGTCCCCCTGACCAAGGACGAGGCAAGAATCGCAGAAGCAGCGAGGCAGAGCGCGCTGGAGATCCTGAGAGACGCCCTGAAGAAGAAGGACCGTGTGCTCATGGAGACGCCCCGGCACCTGATTTCCTGCGACTCCGAACGGCCCCAGTTCTGGATGGAGCGGTACGCCGTCCTGACCGAGCAGTGGGTGAGAGACCTCATCTCCGGCTGGAGGCAGCCAAGTTCATGGGGGACCCTTCCAAGGACAAATATTATGCGTATGTCTATACAGAATCTGGAGACAAAACCATTTATCTGTGCCCGCTCTTCTGGAAGTCTCCGAGTCACCTTGGCAAACCGTGCCAGATGGGGACTTTAATCCACGAGGCCTCGCACTTCCTGGGTGCACGCGACATCACCTACGAGCCAGACAGAATCTCTGTTGCGTGCAAGGGGCTGATGGTGAAAAATAGCTTGACAGACTCAGATAAGCTAAAATTTGTTCCTCTGGTGAATGCGATGCTAAATGTCAGAAACATCCAGTACGAGTTTGAAGTGACCCTGCGGCACCGCGGAGACTACGTGCGGGGGAGATACTCCTGCTGCGGGGAGACGGCGAGGAGCTCCGTCTGCGAGAGCGCCGTGCCCAACGCCTTCTTCACGTGTCCGAACAACGGGAGGTGAGTAACGTCCGCCCCAGTGGACACACTTGAGCGGGGGTTTCCCTGGGAGACCCGGTGCCTGCAGGCCCCAGCGCCCTTGCAGGACGTGCCCGCTTCTTTCCGTGTCGGGGACCGGTCAAAGGGGGGACGCCCCCAGCTAAAACACCGGGGCAGCAGCACCCCGGCCCACGGCCGCCCCCTCCCCCCGACTCGATCCCCTCCTGGCACAAGTCAAACCCCTTTATCAAGGGTCTGGGAGAGCACGGGGAATCGGGCTGCTGACACACAGGCAGTATTTCTGGGAGAGAGGCAGCGCCCGGCTCCGGCTCCCGCCACCGGCCGGACGGGCAGGGCTCGCAGCTGGGAGGGGGCAGCAACTCGCAGCGCAGCGCGGGCCAGCGCTGCGCCCGGGGCTTTCCCCTGTCCCCGGCCCCGGCTGGAGGTGGGTTACGGGCTCCTGGGGACGCACCGCTGACCTGCTGCCGCCTGGCAGCGTCTGCCCGCGGCCCTACGCCGAGTCCGGGTGTGCTCGCCCGCACGAGCGCAGCAAGGCTCACCCCCGCCAGCACCGACACCACGTCCAGCGCCGGGCGCACGAGGATGCAGCTGCCACGCAAGGCGACAGGCACGTGGCACAGCAGCTGCTATTGCAGACCTAGGAAACGGATCTCCCCTTTTTCTTTCTCCTTCCCTGCAGGAGACTAACACCGAGCACCGGCGAAGTGCTGGCGGAGAGGCTGGTGCCCCCCCGGGACAGGCTGCAGCGGCACGTAGCTGCGCTTCGGAGACTTGCCGATGCCGTGGACGAGGTTCGCAGACGCGCCACGACACCAACCAGTGCTGGAGGGGCAGTGGGTATCGTGGCCCAGATCACGGGGTTCTTCCTCGCCCCCTTCACCGCGGGGCACACTGCCTCTGCCGTCAGCAGCCCCGCCAGCACCCCAACAACCACCCCCGGCACGGTGCAGTGTCCACGCAGGAGGGAGGAGATGAGGCAGGTCCTGGGCGAATGCCAGGCGGAGCTGACACTCATCCGGGAGTGCCTGGACCTCCTCGCGGGCACCGATCCACCGGCCTCGGCAGACAGTGCCATGCTCAGGCTGCTGACGGATGTCCTGAGGACCAGGGCAGGAAGACGACAAGCTGCTAGCGACATGGAGGAAGTGCTCAGCATGCAGCTGCTTCACATCAAGAGTGTGGCGACTCTGGCAGGATCCACCGCGGACGCCATAAGGGCCCTCGCCCGCAAGCTGGACGTCGTCTCTGCGGGAAAGGACTCCACATTGCTCCACAGAGGCGCCGAGGCAGGGCTGGCAGCCACGATCCGAGAGGAGGTCACTCGTCTGGAGGGAGTGATTGCCCACATCGACCAAGTGCACAAGGCGCTGACGGGGGAGAAATGAAAGTGAGTGTGGGAAAAACAACGAGCTCAGTCCTGCGGCACTGATCATCCAGCCACGTGGACTCCAGCCAGTGTCACCCGGGCCCAGGACCTGCCACGATCACGGGTTTAGGATGAGGACGTGCAATTCATGTGGTGCACCAGCCCCACCAGACCGCCCCACACCCCACCCTGCCCAGTGTGTCTCACCCCTTTCACGCTCGCGGCCCCTTGGGAAAGGCCGGCTCTTGAGTTTCGTGTGTTTTATGACTGTGGAAAAGACAGAGCAGCTTTTCTGTTGCAGAGAGCCCAGAACAGCTATGGCTTTCTGTGCAAAATCTCTGGGTTTGCCTGGTGAATCCTGTGCACGCCTAACCACGTGGATGCCGCCTGGCACCCCGCAGCACCCTAGGAAGGACCTCAAGGCACCCCAGGGTGCTGCGAGCCCTGGCGGAGAACTGCTTCTCTACACAGGCACAATCACACCTATGATAAGTGAGTGCACGGGCAAAGCCAGGGCTCCACAGCCGGACCATCGTTAATACGGCCCCAACGCACCAACCCACCATCCCACATTGAAATCAGGCGGCGTAACAAACCCGACCCCCCCAAGTCCAAACCTGCCCAGCCCCCCATGCACCCGACCTCACCTCCAAACCCCACGCACTTCCCCCGTAAGAGACAGGCTTTCCTTCCCTGTGGAGCAGACCCCCGCCAGCGTACCGGTGCAAAACGGCACGCGTCCAGACTGTGCCCCACTTCCGGAAACGTCCAGGCAGCCTGGGGAGCCCCAAGGGGACGCAGGAGCAGCAGGAGGTTTGGAAGCACGAGTTACGAGAGGCCGAAGGGTGCCAGCCCCCAGCAGGAGGGGCGACCGGCCAGAGAGCCCACGGGGCCACCGCTGCCCACAGGCCTCCTCCCCTCCCTTCTTCCCCCAGACCTCGCCTGTGCCTCGTGCCTTACCCTGGCGCAGGTTCGGGGGCCGCGGGGCCGTTGCGTCCCCTTTCGTTCCAGCTCCACCCAAACACTGACACCAGCTGCCTGGACAGGCACCACTGTTTCACCGAGGGTGTCTGTCGACTTTGTGGCTCCCCCAAAATTGTGGCTCGCCAAAATCTCTGATTCCTGCCAATCTCTCCACAGCGCACGGGTGTGAACAGTCTAGTAACGGAGCTGGTCATTCACCTGCCCTCGGGGTAACGGCTCCTTTTTCACAGCCCTGAAGACAGTTTTAGCTCCAGCTCAAACCGTCCCGTCAGACCCAGCGGCGTGGCGAAGATGCTGGAGAAGACCATGCTTTGTTTTAGGAATCGAGGAAGAGCTGTGCATTTCTCTGCGATGGCTGCAGGGCGAATGACACGATCTCTTTGGACTATTTCTGGCTCCATTTGTGTTTTTTTAAATAAATACATGATCTAGGGAATTCGAATATGTGCCAACAGTGCTTTAACTTTAAGAGGGGACCTGTAAAGTGCCGGCCAGTCACCGACGACCACGTCCGACCCCAGGGTAGCGAGGCAGCGGTTCCCACGCCAGGCGACAGGCACGCGGCGCAGCAGCTGCTATTGCAGAGCTGGGAAATCCCCGTGGCTCTGGCCCAGCTTCCCAGTCTGTCGAGATCCCCCCGAGTCGCACTCCTGTCCTCCAACGTCACAGAAGTCCCAGCGCCGCGGGGCGGGCAGGGAGCTGCGGGGTCGCATCCAGTGCAAACCCTGCCCGAGGCAGGATCAGCCCTGTGCAAACCAGCCAAGACAACCATCATGTACGGGGTGGGGTTTGGTACGCTGTGGGTACGGGTGTATGTATGTATGTGTGGGGGGTTGTGGGCAGGGTGTGGGGGGTTTGTGGAGTGTGAGAGGGGCACGGGCACCCCCTACATGTCCCCCCACCCCATGGTGCTCAGCCCCCACTGCCGGCCGCAGCAGCACCAAGCAGCAGGCCCTTGGGTTGCTCAGGGCCCGCACGGCTGCGACCACCCGGTAATGCCTGGGTCCAGCCAGAACTGGAAGCTGCACGTGGCAGCAGGGAGCAGGGAAGGCATCCAGCTCCATCGCGCAGGGCTTCTGCCCCCTCCCACGATGGCACACGAGTCCTGGGAGCTGCAAACAAGCCATGGGGAGCCCTGTGCAATGAAACCGGGCCAACCAGGGCTCCCACCTCCCAGCTGGGCATGTCCCCAGGCTCCACGCTCCCACCAACCCCAGCCCCATGCTCTGCGCTCCCAACCAGCTGCAGCTTCCCCCCGGCTCCGCCGGCTGCCTCTTCCCTACCCGCTGCCCGGGGCCAGCAATGCAGCAGCCACACAAGGAGCCCTGGAAGCCGAGCAGGTCCCTTGGCGGATGCAGCAGGGGCCTCACTTGGAAGCTGGGCGTGCCGGCTGGGGCTGGGGCCCTCCCCATACAACTAATTGGTGGGTGCTCATGGGCAGGACTCAGTCGCCTGGCCCATGGGCCACCTTTTGCCTGCCCCTCATCTAAACTCAACATAAAACTACCCTCAGTCCTGGCAAAACACAGACTAACCCAGGGAAAGCAGGGACCAGGGCTGCCAACACCCTGCGTCGATGAAATGTTGTCAATGCACCAAGACATCCCAGGCAGAGGCCGTGCCCCCAGCTACCGAGGCAAACTGCCTCCCCAGGCTGTACCAACGAGGCTGAGCTTGCTGCTGCCCCGTGCTGCCACGCACCCTCTCCCTGCCCCTGTCACCGCTGCCCTTTTCTTTCACGCCGGCAGGCACGAGTCTGGCTGTTGGCCCAGGGCGGCCCCTTTTGCAAGACAGCAACACTGCGCAGAGGCAGGAGTCCCCGCACGGTCCCAGACGGGATCCACCCAGCCTCTTCCGCCTCCTTCCTCAGGGCATCCCTTCACGCTGCCGCCCCAGGGCTGAGCTAGGGTTCTGGAGAGGAGGGTGCAGGGGTGCAGCACCATCACACTGACACAAGACCTGTCTCTCTGGGTACACAGAAACTAGATGCATTACTCAGAGGTGAGGGGGTAATGCAAGATTATTCAGTTCAAGTCAAGCAAAAACATAGAGTTATTGGAACGTGCGCTAAATTGCTAGGTACATATTACACTTAAAGAACCTACTAGAGAAAAATAGTCAAAAGATGTTGTGTCATTCATCCCATCGTCGTTATGGTGAAACGCTCACCTCTGTTAGGACTCAGGATACAACATTTCTATGACTCTATACCCCAGCAGTCTTTCCTGCCCACGTGCAGGGGGCTGCACCCAAGGGTCGTGTAAGGTCCCTTCCAGCCCCGAACAGCTGTGAATCTATGAAAATATCTAGCCTTCCCGAGCATCTTGGCAGCGCCTCCACTCCTTCGCTGTCAGTCATTTCTACCCCGGAGTCCACAGCACCGTACCCGAGCTCAGCACAGCTACAAGCCGCCCAGGCCGCGTACAGAAGAGCGCTCCCCGGGGCGGCTGGCGGGCAGCAGAGGCGTGCAGAACGGGGCAGTTTGAATAGGGACCATCAAGCCCGTCAGAGGCTTAGAAACTGAAAGCGAAGGCTGGGGCAGGTCGGACATTTCTCAGAATCACGCTGCTTTTCCTGTACTCAGAAACCGAAAGCACCTGCCCCTCCCTGCCAGCCCACACAAAGCCTGGGGTTTGGGCTCAGGTGTCTAAACAGCCCCGGCGGAGAGACGGCCTCCACACCGCACTGGGCAAAGACACGGAGCCGTCCCAGCCCCCCCGACGGCCCCAAGTGCTTGTAACTGCAGCCCCTGGCGCAGGACTCGACCCGAGCACTGAGCCGCAGTTGGTGCCTCCCCGAAAGTGAGCCCGGCGCAGGGACCTGCCCTGGGTGAGTTGGGCCACGGTCTGCCCGTGGGCTGCTCCTCCCCGGCCATGCGTGGTGTGAGGGCGACTGTCATGCGAGCTCCCCTCTGCAGCAGCAAACACCCGGCTGCCGCTCCTCCCCTGTGCCACCACTGCCCAGGGGGCCCAGCTGGCCAGGACGCCTCGTCTGTGCGCTCACGGGTCTCTGCAGAGCAAGGCTCCAGTTCCTGCTGCCCCCCTGCTGCCAAGCACCCTCTCCCTGCCCCTGCCCCTGGCCCTGGCCCTGCGCCTGCCCCTTGCGTTCACACCGGCAGACACGAGTGTGGCCATTCGCCCAGGGCGGCCCCTTTGCAACACAGCAACACTGCGCAGAGGCAGGAGTCCCCACGCGGCCCCAGACCGACGCCGTCCAGTCGCTGCTGGAAACCCTTTGGTGACAGACTCCACGGCTTGCCCGGGCTGATGGTGCCACGGTCCAGCTGCTCGTATTCCAGGGAGTTTGTCCTGCCCCTCAATCTCAACCTGTTGGACTGCCAATTAGCCCACGGCCTTGTGTCCTTCCTTGTGGGGCAAGAGGAAATAACCTTTTTGCATCTTCCTTAGGGCAGCCCTTCATGCCGCTGCCCCAGGGCCGAGCTGGGGGCTTGGAAAGGGGGGTGCGGCTCCATCACACAGGACGCAGGATATGTCTCTCCAGCTACAGGGAAACTCGATGTGCTACTAAGAGGCAAAGGGTAGTGCTAGCTTGTTCAGTTCAAAAGTAGAGCAAAAACAAGTGACATTGGAGTGTGGGGTAATCAGCTAGGTGTATATTACATTTAAAAAACAACATAACTACAGGTAGGTAAAAAGTAGTTAGAAGATGCTGTGTGTGTTTGTCTTGTCATTATAATTACTCATCTTTTAATTAGGATTCAGAAAACAACATCTCACCTTCTTGAGCACCTTGGCAGTGCCACCACTACTTACTGCCAGTCATTTCTACACCCGAGTCCATACTGCCATACCCGAGATGAGTATTTTAGCTACAGCTAGGCAAGGGTCTTTGGGCAGACATGATATCTTTGATCAGACCAACTGAGCAGTTGGAAAAAAGTTGCTGGCAAGCTTTCGGGCACAGTCGTCCTTCGTCAGGCATCGGGAGTCTGCTGCTCTGAGACTCCAAGGAATGAGAGAAGCTAAAGGTGCGGCAGGATGTCAGGGAGAAGGTAAATAGGTAGAAATGAGAAAG